AAGAGTGGGATGGGGGGTTCATAATGGCACTCCTCCTTATAAGCATGTACTATGTACTTAGAGTTGAGTTAGGATACATCATGCCATGAAAGGCGCATCTTTTCTTTCATGCAAAAGGTATTAACCTATGCCCCAATTCCTTTTTAATTCATGTAACTTTCTTTTAGCACCTAACCTTGCCATCTAATTTGATATGAGAAGCAGTGGTCTTTACTTCCACTCCTTCCTAACACTTAGCTAACACAGTGTTGCTTATTTCACAGAGGAATGATATATTATCTATTTAAAATGAGTAAAGAAGGGCCTAAATGTTGTCAGTCAAGCATATTACCGGCCTTGGGAGAAAGTTGCTAAAGGCGTAGTAAGAACTCTCTAAATATCATTACCAGGCATTTATGATGCATTTATTACAGTGAATGCTGCATTTGGGTTGGGCCCTATTTTGCTGGGAACTGTATGAAAAGCAGCTCAAACTCATTTGTACATTTTACTCTGTTTCTTATTTATTAACCTGTGCGATGATTGGAAAAATGAAAATCTAATCTCTTTGGACAGCTCCAATGCTAAGGCCGTACCCATTTGCTCTCTTTTCCCAGACTCAGCAAAGAACATGCTGACACACTGCTTCCTCAAAAATGAAAGTTGATCTACTCAATTTTGCTCCTTTTCTGAAATAACCAGTTAGGTACTGTCAGACCCAAGCTTTATGAGTTCAGCCTTGCACAGGGGTAGCTAAGATGGCAAGCCACTACATTTTCTTGGAATTTACATAGCTTTTCCAAACAATCTTTGGCAATAAATATTAATACCGTGTAAAACTTTCCTTTCTAATGACCTAGAATAAGTTTCCCGAGCTTGTTTATGTAGTAAGCTGTTATTAACTTGACAACATTGACTAGCACTGCAAATTTAAATTATTGGCTTCACCTGACAAGCTGCCAGTCTGAAATGCTAGCAAAATGTTGGCTTTGAAAGAAAGATATGGAACTGCGGAAAAACCTTTGGACAGAGCCCAGAGACTACTAAAAAATCCTAAACAATTCATGTTCCTAACATGGAGGCATCTATTACATGTATTAATGTCCAGGATATTCCTAGAGATTTATCCTTTGTAGGACGAGGAAGTTGTTGAAACTGGAAAGCTAACAACAGGACTAACAAGGGCTTCTCAACAGCAATTTAATTTTTTTTTGTAGTAATATTACCTGGATAGATGTACCAGAGCAACTGAGGGCAAATAAAACAAGTGAACAACCCTGTTCAAGTTTGTCTAACTGTAGAGAAACGGGTTTACTCTTTCCACAGTCTGCAGGAGCAGAAATATGCTTTCCACAACTCTATCACTTCATGCACAAGCTCGGTTTAGTGAGGAACCTAGTTGTAGTTCCACCTGAGGCACTGCCTTTAGCAGCATAAACACCTGCTAACACCCATGCCAGCAAACATTATTAAACTTAGTCATCTAGAAGCATGCATCACTACATGGACTAAAATTAGTTTGTTTTCAGTTGTAAAAGTGATTTGTCTCATGTTGAGACAGCAGAACCCTCCACTGATAGCTATTTAATATTCAATAGTGTGTGCTGGGGGGTGGAAAATGTGAATCACCTCCATTCTACCTCTGTAGTTGGCTGCCTCCATCCTGTTGCACAAACGGCTAGTTTCGTGCCCCTGGAGGCTTGTCCAATCCACCTCTCTCCTCTCTGTCACTTGGTCATGATTCCCATAAACTTCATACGCAATCTCTATGAGTCCTAAAAGCAGTTTACCCACTGCCCCCTCAGTCTTTTGCAGCTTTTTCTTCATACGGGGGAGGTTTCTTAGAACGGCTTGTCAGCTATCCCTTCCCGATCCGTTTGGTCTTTGTCCGGTGGTGTTTTAGCCTCATCCCTGCACCTTAACCCTTGAGTCAGATCTTCCCTCACTATCAGAATTAAAGAGGACCCGGGGCTTTCTCCCAGCGTCCTAGTTAATTTACGACAAGCCCAACGTGCTGTCGGATGAGGGCACTTTGAGCAGTTTTTTCCCGAATACAACGTATGTTTTCAGACACAAAAATAGGATCCTTTACCAGATAAAATTCTAGCCGGCAGTAAGGTTTTAAACTGACCTGTATTTAATAAGGTTCGGATCCAGTCACCATGATTTTGAACACACAAAAAGACACAGGAAAGGCTTATTTAGGACGTCCGGGCTGCTCGGTGCCTTGCCCCGCAGTCTTTACTGCCCAGACTCAAGGCTACTGACCCGACACCAGCTCATACAGTGGAAGGAGGGAGGGATTCTTTCACTCCTGCTCTCGGCAGAAGCTACTGGGACAAGGGGTTTGGAAAAGACAAAATCACTCAGACGCCCTGTCCACTGGGTCACGAGGTTCTAG